TTAGTGACTCTTGCTTGCATGGATAGAGAAGGGTATGTATAGGAACTTCTGACTTTGCATTTCTGGAGTGTAGGTTGCTATATGAAAGTAAGTAGCACATCCAATTCCCTACCCACTTTGTAACTCTGGTCGATCTCAGCCATGTGGCCTCTGGCAAGCTGCCCAAGAAGCAATGTGGCCATCAGCCTGGAGAATGTATCTAGCCCACCCTTTCCTATCAAAAGTGTTCTTATTAATAAAGAGTCCTTCCAACCAATCATGCCCTAATCTCCAAGAAGCTGCTAACAGGGGGCTTGCAGCGCATTACATTCCACCCCCAGTTTCTCATTCTTCTTTTCTAACTGACACTCAATGTCCTGCAGCTACTGAGAATGCTCAGTTCTCATTGGTCTACTTTGGAGGGTTGTCTCCTTCAGTACTTTTCTTCTGCAAACCTCAGGGTTCCTCCAGGTATGTTTCATCTCTTTCTCAATGGCTCCAAGCCTGTCAGCGCTTTCCATTCAATTTCTGTTAGAGGCAGTGAAGAAGACTGAGGTTTGCACTTTATTATTAGTTAACTGATTTGTATTTTAGCATAACTTAATCTAGCACATTTTGATTTGGACCTCGTTGGTAGTTTACTAGAGTAATGAATTTTATATACACTTGCAAACATAGGTTTGAAAGATGAGATGGAGAAATTCCTTCACTTGGAGGTTCAAAGAAAGTTGGAACTACGTAGATATAAGCTTTTAAGCAGGGTGAGCATGATAAAGACAAGTAAACATGAGAAAGAGAAGCAAATTGGGTCCAATTTCTTTACCATATTTGGAAGGGAAATGTTATTCCAGATCACAGTTTCTAATAATTCTGAGTTTTATTACATTATCTTGCAGTTTGCATTATGGCATAGCTTGCTTGTATGAATTAGCTGCATTTAGTTTATTTACTTAATAGTGTTTGCCTTCATCCACCCACTTTGTTTGCGGAATGGTATGACCCAACTGATAACCATTCACTAAAGAAGATTAAATCTATCTGATCTTCAAATTCCTTCCAGTAATAACATGCTACACTTTTTCATCAAGTTAAGCAAAACCATAGAATTGTAGAGTTGGAAGGGACCACAAGGGTCATCTAGTCCAACCCTCTGCATTGCAGGTATCTTTTGCCCAACACAGGGCTCAAACTCACAACCCTGAGATTAAGGGTCTCATACTCTACCAAATGAGCCCAGTCATGGCAGTTAGACATCCATATAAGAGCTGTCTTACATATGCTTACTCAAAAGTAAGTACCATTGTATTCAGTTGAGCTTATTCATACAGGAAAGTGAGCACAGGAATGCAACCTAAATCAAAGTCTATTGCATTTGCTGTTTCCTTAGCTCAGATGACATAATGGCAGATTGTACAGTATCCTCTTTCACAGTCTTAAACAAAACTTGAACTTTCCCTACCAAAAGCTGTCAAATTCTCATAAAAGAGTTAATACTCAAGAGTTTCTGTCTGCTTCCTTTCTTGTTAACAAAGGCCATGATCAAGTTGCAGTTACAGGCAACTACTGTCCCTTGACAGGGTTGTACATCTCCAGTGGAGAAAAAAAGATGCAGTTTGATGAGGCCCAGATAATCAGCATGGTATGAATACGCACTTGCTTCTGCACATAGATCTCCTTTACAAGATCATGATACATTTCTAAAGTTAGTTTAACAAATGAAAACATATATGTACTGAAATATGGACCTTAGAGATGTTTATTCTAATGGATATAAGGTATAATGTTAAATGATCTACCTGTCAGTGTTAACCCTTACTCATGCACTTAAAAATAATCTGTCATAGTCTAAAATATGTGGGATTAACAGATCAAAGGAAACCATCAGAGAGGTTTTTTCCTCTCAGCAACATTGGAATGTTTCCAAGAGATAAATTATGACAGCCAACATGCTCTGTAAGTGCAAACATGGCTATTGTTTTGCCCCACATCAACTGAGAGGTTATTATCCAGATAATTAGCCCAAGCCACTTCATGGTGGCAGCAGCCCTGTACATGCTACACCATTGGGCAGACACAGTGTGTGATGAGGGCTGACAACAAAGTATGGCACTAAGACCACTTATGTTGTTCCAGAAAGTAGTTTATGTTTTCCTGAAGATAGGCAGCTGGCAGGGGAAGGTTCTGCACTCCTCATTTCTATATGCTTCTTGTCACCTCTTTTGGAACCCTTCTCACAACCGTCTTAGGAACCCAAAAGTAGGAAATGCTACAATAAACAGTAAAAGTCAACTTAACAATGCCATGACAGATGAGTCATGTTGCTGTGTGTGGACTCAGAGCAGGTGGCTGCGCTGACAGTCTCAGCTGAAAACCTAAACATACCACATCTCTGTTATTATAAACCCTTCCTCCCTACAGCAGTATGAAAAAGCTATGCTATTTGCAAGTACAAAACTTAATATTCAGCTGAGAGTATGTCATATGCTGTGCCCTTGCCCTCATTTGGGGAATAAGAAGTGTTAAAATAATGTAAGATAAAGGGACAAAGAGGTAAAAGACATTGAGTGATATCTAACGAAGTCATAGCCAAGGGCCTTTTCAGTGGTTGCTCCCAGACTTTGGAACTCCCTTCTTATTGCAGCCAGGTGAAGACTTTCTTGTTCCAATAGTATTTGGGAACTGACTCCTTTTAGGGGAAGGGCTGGTACTGTGGTGTTTTCATTATGAACTGTATCTTTAATAGATCATATATAGATAAATATATTAACATTTAAATGTTTTTTTAATTATTGCTTTCCCCCATTTTTAGCTGTTTCTGTTTTAGCTGTAAGCTGCCTTGAGTCTCTGTCAGGGAAAAAGGCAGGATGAATATAAATATAATAATAGTAATAATACTCAAGAGTAAACCCACTGAAATTAATTTACTCATCCATTAGTTTAAATGAGTTTACTCTGAGTATTACTAGCATTGGATTTCATCCATTATCTTTATTTCACAAATCATAGCCAGTGTTCAAATACAGAATGTTTCTGTCTGCAGGCAAACAAACAAAAAACCATTTTGCAAAATACCACTCATGCTTGTTGTTTGTTATGTTGAGGTTAAAACCTGTCTAGGAACTGCATTCTGACATGGAACTAACTCTGGTTCCTGGCATGTGGGAATACAAAATATCCTTTGACACTGACATAAAATAATTCTGCATATAAAGGTTTCCTATTCTCCAGCCAGTATAAAAAGTCTGTCTAGTATTTGCTGTAGAATTCAAGAATTCATTACTGTGTTCTGAAGGAGATTATGGAGGACTCAACAATGAGCGTCATGCCAACATTAAACTCTACAATAGGTTATCCTATTGTTCTTCTTACAACAACGAAATAAACAAATTTCATATGATGTCCTATTTTTAAAATCAAATTACCACCATTTCAAATCTTATTACTTCAACTCTTGTTTTATTATGTTCACTAAACAATACACAGCAAATGCAAGATCTTTACAATGCATGCTATGTGTCACTTTTCATATGTATTGTTTCTTTGACTGCACAGTCAAATGACAGGTACAATCTGTTTGCTGCTAGAATGAGTTTATGGAGCTGGCTTTGAAAAGTGGTTTACTGTGTTAATTTGGTTTTTTTTAAGTATGTTTGAAGTAACTAGTATAATCAAAGATTTTGAAGGCACGTGCTAAGACATGTAAGGCAAAGATAATATGGCGTTACATTAGTCATGGACATAAAGTGTGTATTATATATAACTGCTTAATCTGTTCAACATATTTTTCCTAAGTACATAAGAGGAATTCATAACGTCACATTATATTTCCTGTGTTAATCATATGATTGATTAGTTGCAGTCTTCAGTAAACGGGAACATCAAACCAATGTTATAAAAAGTATGTATTACCACTTGCTTGTTTCCTATACATTTTTCACGTGGATGTGTATAGAACACACTGATATCACTGGAATTTACTCCCAAATAAGTTAGCATAAGACTGCAGCCTTGTTTTGGAATTAAAAAGGAACACAAAACAAAGGCACAAAGCCAACAGACATTAAACCTCCTGGTAGCAACATGCCTAGGTTCTGACAGCTGCTTTCTTTGTTTTGCTTTGCAGTGCCCTCCCCCAATCCCTCATGCTGACCTACATGAGTAGCTTTGCATCATTTTATTTTCCACAGGCTTTCTCCAAGCAGGAGCAAAGGAAAAAAGGTGCTGGAGGAGCTCTAGTAAATAAACAGGCACACAGCCTCGGTATTTCAGAAACCGTGTATCAGTATCTAATATAGTCACCCATGCTGCAGTGCCAAACAAGGGCAATGAAACAGGAAGGATGTTTTTGTTAGGTGCTCTATCCAAAAATGAAACGTCTCATTGCCCAAACCAAGGCATCCTTTCAGGTACAATTAAGCTACCCTGCAGTCTCCCAACTGCTTGCCTATACATCAGCCATAATGCAGCATTTAAAGGACAGAAAATATTACTGATCATATAAGAACTCTAGATTTCAGCACAACAGAGAGAAGAAAAACATTCGCAGCGAAGCGGGAGGGGCGGGAAGGGATTATCAGAAAATGGTAACTAGCAAGCTCTTCAGACAAACGCCGTCGTTTCTGGGGAAGATGGGGCAGTTGTATAAACAAGACGAAACAGAGGCGTTTTTGTTGCTGTGGGTGCGGGAGGAGCGCGCGCGAGAATGTCGCCGACCTGAGGCAGCTAAGAAGAGGAGGAGGAGGAGGCAGCCCTGAAATCCATGGGGAAGAAGCAGTGCTAAGTGATGGAGAAATGGTGGAGGAAATCCTCGCCGTGCAATTGCATTACTGGGGGATGTATGCAGCCTCCCGGGAGCGGGAGACGACGGAAGGAGGGAAAGCGTTGCTAGGGAAAAAAAATCACCCCCACAGAAAGAAAACAGCGCGCAAAGGGCACCCCCTGTACCCTTCTGGGGCCCAAGCGGAGCCTCAAGAGCACGGAGACGGCGGGGCTCAGCGGCGGCCCTCGCCCGGGAGCTTTACCTGCTGCCGGCGGGCTCCGAGCGCCGTCGCCCAGCGTGACGGCTCCGTCCTTCCAGATGCGGATGTCGGCGGGGCTCTCCACCCTGCGGCTGGGAGACTCCCCGCGGCGGCCTCGGGAGCGGAGGGAGCCGCAGCACTGGTAGCAGACGGCCCACGCCTGCTCCTCGTTGATGGGCTGGTTGTAGAGCCGCAGGATCTCCTCCAGAGACAGCGCGTCCCGCATCGCCAGCGCCGCCGCCAGAGACCGGCCTTCGTCGTCGCCGCCGCCGTCTCTGCGGCCGGAGGTGCCCGGCAAGGGCTCGTCGCTTCCCGCGGCCCCGCCGTGAGCCATTCCCTCTGCGGGGAGCCGAATGATAATAATAATAACAACGAAAAGGAGATGACCGGCCGCGCTCGCTGCCCTCTTCGCCCTCTGCCTTCGCCGCCTCGCTTCGCTTCACCTCAGCTGCTGCTGCTGTTGCCGCCGCGGCTGCCCGTTGCCCGCCGCCTTCATGTTCTTCTCCCCGCACCCCTCCCCCCGCTTCCCTCAATAAATAAGAAAGCGCGTGAGCCGCCCCAGTCACCGGCGAGGAAGGCAGGCAGGCAGCAGCAGCGCCGCCACCGCCACCACAGAGCGAGTCAGTCCGTGGCTGGAGGGGGAGGAGAGTATGGAGGGCGGGAGTCACCTCATAGCAACGCAATGGCGTCCCTCCTCCTCCTCCTCCTCGCCTCGGGCTCTGCTGGGTTACACTGCCGCCTGCCTGCGGGAAGCAAGGACAGCAAGAAGCGGGGGGAATGAACCAGGGGGAGAAGTGTACATACCGGTATATCATGTGTCCGGGTTGGGAGGAATAGAGCCAGCCACGAGGGCCCGGCCTCCCCCAGGGAAGAAAATTAATTAGGCGCCAAAGCCTTCCGCATGGGGATTTGCCAAGCGTCAGGATATGACTAACTTGGCCGCAGTGCTTCAGTACTAAATTAATAAGGAGCCTGCCATTCCTCCCCCCAGCTAAACCCGTGAATTCCGGAGTGGTATTTCAGAATTAATTTGGGAGAAACGGACCCTTTGCTCAGGGGTGCAGGACAAGTTTTGTATGCAAGATGGTCACCTGTGTGTAGTGGTTAAGAGCGGTAGACTCGTAATCTGGGGAACCGGGTTTGCGTCTCCGCTCCTCCACATGCAGCTGCTGGGTGACCTTGGGCCAGTCACACTTCTCTGAAGTCTCTCAGCCCCACTCACCTCACAGTTGTGGGGGAGGAAGGGAAAGGAGAATGTTAGCCGCTTTGAGACTCCTGAAGGGGAGTGAAAGGCGGGATATCAAATCCAAACTCTTTTTCTTCTTCTCCTTCTCCTTCTTCTGGCTTGTGACAAAGACCCAAGCAGGGTAGATGGATCCACATTGGCTCAAAGCATGGCATTTACCATTCCTTGTGTTCTAGGGGTGGGTCCAGAGAGGGTAGACTTAGACTGGATCCTAAGCCTGTGCGGTCACATGCCAGCCCAGCATACAACAGTATTTTAAAGGCTTGTTTTCCCTCTGCCAGGCTTAGGTACAGAAGCAGCCCCACTGCTGAATTGGGTTTAGATCTTGTATAACTTGACATCAGCTTGCTTTATGCCAACTTCTTGTGCACAGGATTCCTCCCTTAGCGACACTTTCTTAGATTATGATCACACACACACACACACACACACACACACAATCAACATTCTCTTTTTTCCGTTATGTTATGGTGTGTTCCAAGTGAAAGCAAAATGCAGTGGTCTTTCAGCTTTATAATTTCACTGCAATTAAACAGGATACACACAAAGATCCAGTATAGAGAGGTGAACTACGGAATATTTGGACACCGACTGACAATTAGTGCAGTCTTCCCTTTTGTTAAGAAATATAACTTTTATTACATAAAAATGTACATTTTAATTACACTTTGTACAAAGATTTTCTGTCATGATACTCTGAACACAATCACACAGCCAAAACTCATATTGTGGCAGAAGCCTTTACTAAAGGCATACCATTAAATACAATAATATTCAATCTTGTCTCTTCAAGGCTGTGATCCTAAACACACTTAGATAAATGTTGCACTGAAATCAGTGGGTTGTATCCAACACTGAGTGAGTAGAGTTCTAGTTGCACAGTGGGACTTTCCTTCTTCACCTCCTTCCATACACGCCCTCAAAATCTGCTCTGGAGGGTCCTCCAACCCACTAGAGCAGACTTTAAGAGTGCACAGGGGGTGCAGGGTGGAAGAGAGGATGGGGAAGTTCAGTTGCGCAAGTCAAAGTCTGAGCAACTGGAACAGCAGTGCTGAGTACAAACCAATGGGATTTACTTCCAGGTAAATGTGTTTAGGATCAGAATGCAAGCCTGACATCATTAATAGTGAGAAGTATTTGACCTCAATTGGACTTTGACATAACTGCGGAGGATCTCAGTTCAAAGTGCAAGTGGTTCTTAGAGTACGCAACGGTATTTGCAAGCAAACATGATCCAAACGGCACATGCAGATTCAGGATATGTGAAAACTCTGACACGAACTGCAAGTCGCACTTGGTCCCCTCTACAGCACAGTATTTCGTCACAAAAAGGAGACCTATTTCAGGAAAGGGAAACACAAAAACCAGTCACTCAGCTGTTGAATTTGAGACATTTTTTTAAATTGTAAGGATAGTAACCATTACAGAAGTGGTTAACTGCAGCCATTGTCTTAATCTGCAAATCTGCATACCAGAAGTTTGACATAGCAATTAACCATCCAATTGTACAAAGCCTTTGCTATGAATTTAGCCATACCAAGCATAGCTTACTCCACAAGTTATTTCTATAGCCTGAATGATATCATGCTGACTGATACATTTTGTCACAAATGTTGACTAGCAGATGACCCATCTTCATCCAGAACACTTAACAGGTGACCAGAAATGAATATAAAACTAAAATATGAGTGAGCAGGACTACACAACCAATATTTGTTCATCTCTAGCTACATGTATAGGATGTAGTGGTCTAAAACACAGAGCCTAGGGCTTGCCAATCAGAAGGTCGGCGGCTCGAATCCCAGTGACGGGGTGAGCTCCCGTTGTTCAGTCCCTGCTCCTGCCAACCTAGCAGTTCGAAAGCACATCAAAGTGCAAGTAGATAAATAGGTACCGCTCCGGCGGGAGGGTAAACGGCATTTCTGTGCGCTGCTCTGGTTCATCAGAAATGGCTTAATCATGCTGGCCATATGACCTGGAAGCTGTCTGCAGACAAACGCTGGCTCCCTCTACCAGTAAAGCGAGATGAGCACCGCAACCCCAGAGTCGTCCGCAATGACTTAACAGTCAGGGGTCCCTTTACCTTTACCTAGCTACATGTATAAAATAACCAGTTGTATACTTCAAGGTTCATATGAGAATTATTAAAAATTTAGCCTCAATTTTTCATGCAAGATATTATTAAATTATATCTCCTTTGTTTCCATTTCTCAACTTACATGAATATATATCTTATTCCCTTTTGTTATGTCATATTATTTTTCTTTTGTAGGTCAGTAATTTTAACTTTTTTTCTGTTTTATTGTAACTAATATTGAATCTTATATGTTCAGCCTTATATGATTAGCTATAAATGCTGGTATCTGATATTATATTCTGATTATGCAACACTCTTGTTGTAATGGTCCTCACCTGTACGGTCACCTCTATCTATGCTACCCATGGCAGCCGTCTAGTGCTTGCACCCACAACATTTTTATCAAGATACCAATATTGGCACCTTATTTTTTCAACAAAAAAAGCACTGATTGTATGCAACACTACAACGTAAAAAGAGCAGGAGGAAGTTTACCGAAGGCACGCAGCAAATGCTCTCCTTGCATTTCTGTGTACAAAATGAATGGGAAATCCTTTGAATGTGTGTCCATCGGGTACTGCTCTCCTGATGGCATCTTGAAATTCTTCATTACCTGAAGAAACACCTGTGGTACGTTCAAGTTCATAGGCTGCCAAGGCTGGTGACAAGAGGTAGGAAAGTTGGTCGTCCCAAACTGTTGAAAAACCAAGGTCCTGTATGTTGAATCAAACAACGAAGGGAATTAGGACTAGTTGGTACATAACAATGCTTAGTTCACCTACTTAATAGAGGAAAATAGGAGTGGGGGAACCTTTTTTTTAGCTCAGTGGTCCAGAATGTTTTCCCTCTCACCACTTTCAGACCAATTTATGGGGGGAGATGTTATTGGGATGTCAGCTGATATGTTTTTTGTCCACAGGTCTTCAGAAGTCCCTTTCAAAATGCTATACTGTATTGTGCAGCACTTTAAACGGGGCTTTGCAGGCACTGCCCTTTTGGCTGAGCCAGGCTTTTACCTGTCCCATACCTGGCATATAATGGCAGGCCTAATGAGGCCTGCGGGCCAGAGGTTGCCCACCTCAGGTTAAAAGGTCCAAGAGCATATTTAGTTAGCAATAATAAGAAGTCCAGTCACAAATGACTCTGGGGTTGCGGTGCTCATCTTGCTTTACTGGCCGAGGGAGCCGGCGTACAGCTTCTGGGTCATGTGGGCAGCATGACTAAGCCGCTTCTGGCAAACCAGAGCAGGGCAAAGGGTGGGCAGGAGCTGGGACTGAACAACAGGAGCTCACCCAGTTGTGGGGATTTGAATTTGCATGCAAAAGGTCCTAGCTGAAATGCCACGTGACTCCAGATAGGGCTGAGAAAAACTGAAGTCAGTGTTAACAATAGTGAGCTAGATATACCAATGATATGACTTACTAGAGGGCTGCTTCCTATGTTCCTTTAAAACAAGCTTCAAACATATTTGCTAAACATATTTTACATAAAGTAAATTGTTTTACTGGTAAACCAGACGGAGTAAAAGCAAATTGCTTTCAGTTTATGCACAGATGCATCTACATAAATCCAGAATTTCCGCAAGGTGTGGATAGTGCCTATACTTGCTTCCTACATATGTTGGGATAAAGCCAACTTCATACCATGAGTATCAAATGTAAGAAAGGAACTGTGTTGACTCAAATACATTTTGAAAATAACTTTAACCTACTGAAATGCAGAAGCAGCCAAACACCATTTTGCACACAAATAATGGCATGTACCTTCCTGTGTTCTACCACTAACATTCTCAGTTGCAACTCCAGTTCATTGCTTGTCACTGCAGCATCTACTGACGAAGCACAGAGAGGAGGAAAAGGAGGAAGTGCAGTTGTGGCTCCTGGAGAACATACAGATTTGATTGCTTCGCCACTCATTGGTTTCCATTTGGATTCATCATGCAAGTCAAAGGAACAGACTTCTACGGCATCAGTAGGCTGGCAGTTTGCCAAAAACTTGTGATGATTGAAGACACATCCTATTGTTCGGTAAGGATACAGTGGCTTGGGTTGTTCAACAATTGGAGGATCATCAGGTTTTATAGGATTGTGGATATATCTGAAAATTAATAGGTATGATTTAATAAGTTAACCTACAAAGTAAAGTAATTTAAAGCCAGAACTAGGAAGTCCCAAAGTACTTCTCAGTTTACATAGACATTTGGCTGGTGCACAGAAAATACTGTCTGTTTTTATTGATCAGCTATGTTTAAGAAGTTGGGAGCGAGTCTCAGGAATGTACACTCCCCTTTAAAGCATGAATCCCATTCACCCAGGCCTAACAGTGCATGTCCAAAACCAAAATTTGAATCCATGTTCCACATTTCTTAATGCAACACTTCATCAGAGTAGAGGCTACACACTTTGCCCTCACTCTTGTAGCTGCTCCTCTCAGTTCTTATGTCGCTGTACCTTTCTATTCCAAACCAGGTATCTTCTATTGTACAACTACACTTAAATGTAATGATTGGGCATTATTAAAAATATTGATTGCAG